CTGCAAACAGAGACCATGACAGTTTCATAAACCAGATTTCCTCCTCAGCATTGACAGCACTTCATACAGAGCACAATTGTAAGCAACACAAAAATTACGTATAAAGCAAGCTAAAGCTCCTCCACGCCCATTCAAAAGCGTGTGAAGACCTCAGCATGAGACCTAAATAAGGTAAAAGCTGATGAAAATACAAGCTAATAGCAGCCCGCGCTGAAGCACCCAGATACACACCAAGGATGGGCCTGGATGTGGAATAGAAAAACCCATTTTACTACACTTGGGAGAAAGCTGAGCAGTGGTTGTGTTGTGCGCTGGAACAAACTACGGTGCGTTGCGCATTTACAAACACACAAACCTGTCCAAAACTACTTGTCAGAGAATATCACAAGGAAAATTTCCTCCTCCAAGCCTGCAGTTATTCCAATGCTCTTACAAAACCCTGCAGCCTTCATTGAATCTCGATAGGGATAACATAAAGCCTTTTCTAATCACCGGCTTCTCCGTTCAACAAGCTCATCGGTGGTTTCACCTATAGCGTCGTTGGCTTTTCTCAGAGGTTGATGCGAGTACTTCCCGTTCACATCCTGCACAGTTCCGTATCAATGGCAACCACTCAGCACCATTCCCACCCTGAGCAAGTCCGAACCTTCCTCGCTCAACATTGACCATGACATTTCAAACCAACAATCCCTAGTTCTTTTTCATGGTCTCTGCTCGTAACAACCAGATATCCTCCAAATCATGCAACAAGTAAAATCGACAAACGCGACCGACTACAGCAATCCGGTTCGCATGAAGACCTCCAAAACCCAAGACCTCAAACTTCGCCGATGGATGCGCCAAAGGCACCATCACCCTGGATACAGAAAATTCCAATAACCATGAAGTTTCCAAACAACGTCACGACGAGCGCTGATGTGAACGTCAAGTTCCGAAAACTGAGGCTTACTTTCGTTATGATCTGCAACTTTTCCAGCTTCTCTAGTGCATCTTCTACATCAAAATCGCATTTCTCACCAAACTTTGTGGCCATCAACTCCTCGCACCGTTTATCCAATTCCTGTTTCACATCACGCGTTCCGGTTGTCAACTCAGCCGGACCAACAGTGCAGTGTCTCTCCGTTCGCATGCCCGCATAATCACCAGCTCCGAGAGGATTGCAGCTTAGACACCATGCTTAGGTTTGGACATCGAAATAACATGCAAATATACTAACTAACGTATACCGACTAACCAGACACGCACGAGCATTCCTCCAGTGGGCTCCCTTGATTCATCACTCACCAGATCAGTAGCTTTGCCTTGGCTCATTAACACAAAGTAAGCCATAATCACTTCCTTCACCTGCACAAAACAAGCACTGTCATTCTCTACCATCACGAGTTTGAGCCCAACGCATAGTCATTGCCCTCAACCCTCGCATTCGACATGCAACCTTTTAGGATACCAATGATCATCTAAAAACGCTCTCATACGCAAACCCGACTCTTCATTCAAACGCCTGTCACAATCGATAACATGCCTACACACAGCTATTTACAGTGATCGCACCCCACAAAAAACGCCCCGCTTCGTGACAAAGTTCACACCTCTTGCTGGATGACATCATCGCATAGATGGAGTAGAGTTCCCCTTCCGCTATCGAGCTGCTTGTCATACAAGGATTGAGTAATAAGATTCTGATACGCCTCCAGATTGGCATGGAACCTGCAAACAACTCCACCCAGGCTATCAGTAACGTCCTCATTTTTCAAGTTATCCAACTTCCTCCTACCAAGTTGTAACTCGCTGCTCATGAGCCCGTCCGTTCCCACCCATCCTCTTTGCGCCTTCATTTCTGGCGACCACGCACTGGTGGTAATTTGAGCACCTAACTATCCAACGGTTTAGAGAGATCATCTGGCATTGAGGAACAACGCACACGGGATGGAAGAACAAACATTCCATAATTACTTTAGTCATACAAAATAAGTTCTGGATTCAAACAGTGCTCACGTGAAATATATCTTTGCAATGTATCCAATTATGCCACCCAGGACTGCAACTAGCACCCATACGTCACCTTTCCCCGATTCTGTCGATCCAATCAAGGCAACCTGCGCACCATTCACGCAGCTTAAAACAGATGCTTCTGTCCAGCCCCAAAGTGTTCTGTACCACCACGTGACAACCATATCATGGAAGAGTGCCGAGATCACACGTGATTGAAGGTCAGGCTTACCAGGCCAAGAACTGCCGATATAGTTAGTTTCACCCAGTCCATAGGTGTCAAACCTGGATTCTTCTTCTCAGGCTGCAATCGCACACACGAGGTTAACTCAACCGGTAGTGAACTAATAAGCATGCGCTAATTTAAAAGCAGGACGCCCTCCATACTGCGACTCCAAGGGCGACACAGCCCAACTTAGTCAAGAGCGAATCAAGCGACAGCGACAATCACCATTGCTCGGATGTCACCCAAATCTGAGAGACCACTCTTCAAGTCTTGCAGCATTCCAGGAATACGCAGTCCCACAATGCAAAATACTGCTTCCATGACTAGCTCTCAGGCTTGCCGCTAACTGTTATGAGCATACGAGTATCGACAACTTACAAGAACAAGCTCCATGTCTGCCATAGGAATATTTCGAAAATGCCGGATGTGAATGGCTCTGTCTCCCAGGGGATCAAGGATGTGGTGTGGTTTCGAGGCATTCCTGCTCATAGGAAAACCCACATCAAAACATATTTCCAATTTCACTGTGGTTTCGCTGAACCCAATCCTCCTCAACAAGCAAACTCCTTCGCATTTCCAGTTCTAGACACAGAAATATAACTCCATACAGCACGATCGTTCCAGATCCCAACCCGATGCACTCAAAATGTGAAGTCCAGCATTGAAACACTTGAGGCTCTCAACATGGAGTGTTGCCCTTCCAACCACCCTCCGCATCGCAGTTTACCGTATGCCTACTAGTATTCTGGTGCACTTACCGATAAACCACGATCATACGGTCGAATGTGGGCTCCTGCACTGTATTCTGAGTGAACAGATTCTTGAAACTGCGTCACGACCATCACACTTATGTAACGTCTCATCTTATAGCTCTCAATCTCATGTGATCCGATCACCGGAACAACAACATGCGATCCTCGACATCACCAATGCCCGTTTCCAACAAGTCTCTGCACTCTCATGGAAACGAGCCTCCCCGTACCAAAACAATCCAGCATGACACCAAAGACAGAATCCTGATTTGAACCCCACCCTGAGAGTCTTTGAAGCATTGACCACTATGTCAGCCAACTATAGGCGACATCGTACATACAGCAAACTCGACTTTCCAATAGCAAGGTATGCACTTCAGCGAATTCCTGCAGAAGGACTCCAATATAAACACTTGGCGTTGAAAAGTGAGGTACCATGGCCAACTCTCATCACCTGAGATCCATATTTTGTATTCGAATACGTTCAAACCGAAGCTCGTTGTTGTCAGCTCCTGGAGCCTTCTCCTCATTCTGCGCGCCGTCTTGAATCCTCTTCTCCCCTTTCGATCCCTTTCTCGACAAAGAGTGTAGGTTCACAGTTTCCTCAGTCTTCACCTTCCGCAGCCTGGTGCACACACGGATGCGGGGTCAAACAAGCGAACAATTATCGTGAACCCGAGTCTGACATCGTGCGCTTCGAATCCACAGATGGTAAGAACATCACACCCCAACTTTTCGAGACCCCAACCCCAAGTGCGTTCAATGAGGAGATCCAGCTTGGGCATGATGAAATAATCTGTGGTTCTGTCGATTCCAATTCCGCGTCGGAAAATTACGTACTGCAACCAAACGATGGCATCAAGGCGTCAGATACTTTTACTTCTCTTTTGATTTTGAAACCAAAAATACACAAACAAAAAGAAAACTCGATGGCGTATTCATACACTCAAAACACTTCAACACCTGAACTTCTTCCACCACGTAAGGAACCAAGTCCGACACATCAATGCCTCTAATCAAAAGCATCTGGAAGTGAAGCCCACAAACCCGTTGTTCCAAACAACCTGCCACGGGTCCAAACATCCTCTTCGGCGAGTAATTGAACACCAGTGACCAGTCTACGTTCATGAACTGGGAGACCTACCAACAAAGTACACTCACATCGAGCCGAGGAATACAACTCAAATCGCATGACGACCATTGCTTACCTATCGAAAGTCTTCACACTGCCTCAGAGAATTACTTTAAGAACACGAGTTTCAAAAATACCTGATCCGCATAAGAAGGCACTTCATCAACTTTATTCTCCTTGAAATATGTTGTAAACAACCTCTTGTCCAACTGCAAGGGTCAAGGGTCAAGATTCAGTAACGAAACCCTGCGAATCCTCAATTCCATGAAAAGCATCGCTTTGCAGAGGCGCACCGCCCAACGAATCCCATGAACTGATTTCAGAAACTGCTATCAAAGCGTTACACGATATGCTGCGACACTCATGGTGGACAGCACACCCAACTCATAATCTAAAGGCTTGCTTTCGTTGAAGCACCTTGAATTTGTCAACCGCAATCGGCATATTTAGAAGGTACTGGCCTGACTGCGCCAGTTCTACCTCGGCATCGTTCAGTATTTGAAAGTTGCTCTTCTCCATTACCTACTCGTCACACCAAAGGTGCACCAAGCCAAGTCAGCACACAAATCTCGCTGCGACCGTGTCCATCCATCACAACCTTCTACATTTGGACCTCATCTAAAGGCAACAGCCAGTACACTACATCATGTTCTGTACGGTTCCTCGCAGATTTGGACGCCTGATACATGTCCAAGCATTACACCCGAAACTTGAACGAGGAATCTAAAACACAACAGTGAAAATGAATAACAAATCGGCGTGTTCAATATTAAACACAACATGCCGACAATAGTCGCGGTGACAGTGGAAGAAGCGGGAGCAGAAGATGCACCTGGAACAAGATTTTCAGGAACCGCTGCTCCATCACATCCACCTTCGCCGGACTGAGATGCAACTGCTCCAACTTCCTCCGCCCGTGGATAGGATCGAATAGTGAATACAGATGCTGCGATATAAATGTGGGGTGAAATCAGACCAGCGGTTTCCAGACAGAGATGATAGCAGGTTGTCAACGTCATCGCAATCTCAACACCTAAACACTTTGTCGTTCACAGGCTACCGTGGTTGGACAGCATTGTGATCACTGTGCATCAGCGCAGCATTGCATGATCAACTCAGTCATACATGTCAGGCTTCATACATCAGCTCAGGACGGGACGACAAACTCGTGTCCCCTGCCAACCCTCAATTCCTACTTCACGATGCAGGCTTACGAATGATTATCCTTATCCACCCAGTGTAAAGATCCATACACTTCGTCCCGATCCACAAATTGAGGTCAGCGACCCGACAATTCATTTTTGTGAATCGTTTCGACACTACAAG